ATTCTCAGTTCCTTACAAAGACTGAACACAAAGACCCTGAGCTAACAGTAGTTTATTGCAAAGTGGATGCTAGCACCTGACAAAAACACAAACATCTGGAGAACTGAGAAATGCAAATCTTTATGCAGATTCACCCCACCCAAAATCACAATCTGACTTGTGGATGCATGCACTCACTTAGAATTCAGAACCCTATGGCAGATTACTGTGGTCCTTCATCTTCAGTACAGAATGGGAGGTTCAACTTGGGAAGAACATTTTGCTTTCCAAAATGGGCACCAATCAGTTTTGTCAGAAAAGCAATTAACCCACCACAGAGTAGCATGAGAAGTGGCAAGTCTCTGAGAGCAGGTGAAAAGGTACGCTACAGGGGGTGCCCAGCAGCCTCAATTCTGTGATAAAGGTCATCCATGATCTGCGGAAACAGATCAGGCAATCCCACAGGGAAGTTACGGCAAGCAAACAGCAGCAAGGGGAAGAACGCTATACCATGAAGATACCTGCTGAGGTGAAGAGGGCCTGGTGCCCCATGAAGTCACAACGCCATCTTCCTCCTAAGTCACAGTGACAGGAAGGTGGCACACATGACAGGCAGCACTCAAATAGGACCCACTATTATGGATCAGACCAGAGGTCCATCTAACATAGCCTGGCACAGAGCAGAAAGCCATACACTCCGGATCACATACACTGATAGTCTGGACTTGGTGCCGCTCTTGGAGGCATGGCAGAAGGCACTCCTGGCAGAAGCAGTGGGGCAAGAGCTGGTACGTGCTGGGAAAGTACCTGCTCGAATACTATCACACACTGGTAGTGCTGCAAAGAGTGTGAGAGCATCCTGCTCCTTGACAACTGTAGTTTTACCACATGACCTGGAAGAGCTGAACCCCAACACTGAGTTGACTCATCACTCAGGCCACCTCTTCTAGGTCTGCAAGCTCCAGCTGGCCTTGGGGTGTTAGTGCTTCATGGTAAGCTCTGCCCTCCACCCCAGCAAATCCACAGGATACAAGCAGAAGAAAGGAAGCAGTCTCTGACCCCCTGCTTAAGGTGCAACCAGTGCCACTGACCTCGAGAAACTGGGCCATGCAGCACAGCAGCTCTGAGGTGTTGAGCAACTAGCTTGTTAGCCTTAGCTGTATCTTCGTTGAGATGCAAACACACCTAAAGAGCTGAAAGTATCAGAATCATAGAATGGTTTGGGTTGGAAAGGACCTAAAGATCATCTAGAGCTGGACGCAGCACTCCAGGTGGGGTCTCACCAGAGCAGAGTACAGGGGCAGAATCCCCTCCCTCGCCCTGCTGGCCACACTTCTCTGGATACAGCCCAGGATCCGGTTGGCTTTCGGGGCTGCCAGCGCACACGGCCGGCTCATGTTCAGCTTTTCATCCCCCAGCACCCCCAAGTCCTTCCCCTCGGAGCTGCTCTCTATCCACTCTCCACCCAGCCTGTACTTGTGCTTGGGATTGCCCCAACCCAGGTGCAGGACCTTGCCCTTGGCCTTGTTGAACTCCATGAGGTTGGCATGGTCCCCCCTCTCCAGCCTGTCCAGGTCCCTCTGGATGGCATCCCTTCCCTCCAGCGTGTCACCACACCACACAGCTTGGTGTCATCAGCACACTTGCTGAGGGTGCACTTGATCCCATCATCCATGTCACTACCGAAGATGTTAACGACCCCTGAGGAACGCCGCTCGTCACTGCTCTCCACTCTGTGTCTGAGCCGTTGACCACCACTCTCTGATTGCGACCAGCCATTTCCTTATCTACGGAGTGGTCCATCCATCAAATCCATGTCTCCAGTTCAGAGTACTCTGAGGTGTTCACATTCAGAATAACTACTAGGGCTTGTTAGCAGAGACTGACTGAGGAACAGGTCCAGTCCCCAGAGATAATGGAGGTCGTAAGGGTGCAGTAAGCCACAGGTCATGGTCTTCATCTTCCAATGAAGACTGAAAGCAACAAACAGGCTACATCAAGTCACAGGGTCTCCTTGTGTCTTCCTGGCTTTCCTATTCCTTTGCCCATGTCCATCACTACTATTGTCTAACACCCACCTACTCCTTGCACACCTTCAGAAAGGTTGGGCACTCTCAGGGCTTTACCACCACCTTCTTATTTCAGTGGCCACCATAGATTTCAGATGTTTGAAAAAGGAAAACAGAACATTCTGGTCACCAGGTAAAAGATTAGCCCCACTCAGTCAAACCAACGGCAACGTACAAAAGGAAGTTTGCATCTGCATGTCTTCAACAACTTACTGCATGTTGTTTGACAGAACTAGGCTGCTGAATAATCTGGTACGTCTCAGTCAGAATAAAGAAAGCAGAACAATGCAGCTGAAAATAACATTAATAGGCTGATGCAGAAGTGGCTTGGTATTTGTCTGGATAAAGCACCATTTGGCTATGTTAAGTTGAGGACTATTTTATTTTTCAGTGGGCCAGAAGTGCTTTGCTGAGTTTTTGACACTTTGCTAGAGCAAGTGGGACAACATCCTCACCGCAAGAGGCAGCATCATGGCAAATCCCAAGAGCAAACCACCCCACAAATACAGAGACCCATGGAGGCTGAAAGCCTGGTTACAAAACACAGCACCCCAATTTTCAGATCCTTTTCCCATCTTCAGTCAGACGAGGGAAGAGAAGACTAGATCAGCTGTTGTTGGATTTCAAAGGCCTGTCACACCTCCCATCTCTGGGTAGTGGTGCTGATAGGCTTCTTTTAACTGAAAATAAGGCAGGGAGTCTTGAGTATCAAATTACTCTCTATTTACTGTGTCACCCCCTGGATACCCCTCTTCCATGCCCTGCTGGACTTCCAATTCCTGACCCATTTCAGGGGCAGTTTTCTGACCAACCACCACAAAGTCTGTCTTGTCCCCCAGAAGGGAAGGCAAGAACGAGTAGAGTGTTGCTGAGGAGTACCCTTCAATACAGGTTTCATGTAACAACATTTGCAAATTTAGAGATACAGGGAAGGTAGTGCTAATTGAGACAGAGATTCAGGATACAAGGTCCCCCGCCATGGCACCAAATCCAGACACTTCAAATAGGCTTAGTCCTTGACACCAAGTCTGTGTCTCCTCACAGATTATGAGCCACTGCTACATCAATCCTCCCCTTTCCCACAGCCTGTCAGGACTATCTATGGACATGCTCCCTCACAGACTTCACCATGCAGAAGTGAGAATGCCACCAGAAGATAACAGACATAGTCAGGAGGAAGAATGATCTCCAGCCGCTAAGGAGGAGACACAAGAAAACAGTAGAAGCAACAATGCTCAAACACAGAGTCTGCAAAGTCAATACAGCTATAAACAAGTAGGGGCTGCAGTCGTGTTGGTGTGTGTTTATTTTCTTCAGGAAGAAGTGTGTAATGTCCTCTAGCAGAGCAGAAGGTGCAAGGACAGAAGGAAATGGGGACATAGTGCACATGTACAGACATGAGGTCACAGAGAGTTGAGAACAGAAAAACTCAAAAGTAGAAAAGAGTGTGAACAGTCCATGGTTAGATGAGATAAACTGTAGGAGAAGGATGAGAAGAGTTGGAAGTCAGTCAGTCTAATGTTAAACGGCAAAAGGAGGAGAGGGTAAAAGGCCATAAATGTTTAAATAAGACTGCTCTGTGCAATGAAAGGAAGGCTCTGTGCACTGAATTAATAAGAAGGAAAATATTTGGAAAAGCAGCTAAACCAGTGATTTTCAGAAGCATAACAATGGCAGCTGCAACACCATGTCATCAACCCAGGAGAAATGAAATCAAGAGAGGTACAAAGAGTGCCTACCTGCAGCATGCACAAGTCAAAAGGTTAGCTCCCTCAGCTAACTTGCTGTCTAGGCAAGTCTGTTTCTATATAAACAAATACGAATAATTTTTCTAGTTTTTAACTTAGAAATATCCAATTCTGAAGATTCTTTTGTTGAAAGTATTTATTAAACAGTATGCTTAGCACACTATTAATCCCAGCTTTCTTTCTAAAACAGGATGCATGTAGTGTAGCAGCCGTTTTGGAGGGGTGTGACTTGCTGTTACTGATAGGGAAATAGTTGCACCAAATTCTCAAATGACAGATCAAAAAATATTATTATTCTTCAAAACAAAACAATAAAAACCCCAACAAAGTAGTTCACATAAATTCTACATTAAGCTACTATTTGTAGAAACCAGCTTCTAGAGGGATCTGTACAATTATCCATTGTAAATACACATACAGGTAGGAAAACAAAACCCCAAACTGAAAAATCCTCCAGCTATAAGCTTGACTTTCAGAAAGTATCTGCAGTCAAAAAAGTCATTGACCAGCTTTGTAGTAAAGGATTTTGTGTACACTGACACTTCAAATAGCTATAGAGATTGTGTAAAAGGATGCCAAGACAAAGGTTAGGTAAGTTGTTGTAAGGCCATCCTAACGGAGGTATTATACAGTAACTCATGGCTGAGCCTTTTCAGTAGATCCTGTTAGAGACTTCGTGAGTATCTCCATCCCGAAGAGTCCCCAACAGCAGCACTGTGGTCTTGCCAGTCCTCTTCTAATACCTTCTACTTTCCTTACATGCTTGTAGCTTGCTGTGGGGGGACCCCAGGCGTAGGCTGGCGAGGCAAAGTATACATGGCCCCAAGAAATTGGTCTGCAATGCGACCAGCTTCTCTCAGTCCACTCAGTAAAGCACCATGAACTGTTGCAGGATAGTTGCGAATTGTATGTTCTCCCGCAAAAAACAGGCGAGGAATAGGCTGAGGGGTGAAGAGAGAACACTGTTAATGCTTGTTCATGTTATTTCAGATTCTGCAGCAAACAGCCTTCTTAGTGTATGTTAAAAGTCTGCTAATCACACCTCAGTCTCCATTAACATGAAGGTGGTGCATATAAAACAGTGTAGTGTATATTAAAAATATTTTAACCTGTCCTACAAATTACCAAGAAAATCTTTATACACATCTTCCATTTCACAGGAGGGTTTCATGTTTGTAGTGACTGTAATATAAGGAAATATTTTCCACTTGTTTCCGAGTATCTTTGTTTTGTTACAAAGACAATAAAGCTCTACTTGAAAAACAATACTTTCAGAACCAGATCAGCAGAAGAGATTAATGTCCCCAGCTATAAAAGCATTTGAATGTTTTATCTACAGCTCTACAGCCAAACTGTTCACATGTTTAAGACGAATGACAGTTTCTGATCCAGGCACATGAACTCTAGCACAGTAAGCAAATAAAAACTTCATCAATTCACTTAAATTAGCAGTTTCTCTGTAAACTGAGATCTAAACCACCTATGACAGTGCCATAAAAAGTAGAAGAAAACCAGACTTTAATATATTATACTCGGTAGAGAATAATTTTATCTATAGCTATGTTTATTAATGACTTGTATCACTACAAAAAGAACGTAAATAAAGTCAAATCTATACACCTTTCTCTGCTAGAGCTTTCCGAATGGCTATTGCTTTCAAAACTTCATCCTCTCAAAGTGAAGAATTATGCCTTCATTGTGTTGGTTCCCAATCTGGGAAAGAACTTCAGATTTCTGTTCCTCTCCCTCTGGCCTTCACCCCCTTTCAAATCACTAACACTCATTTAAAGATGGTGATGGACCACATGGAGTTTGAAACACCTCAAATCCTGGGTTCAGTTTTGGGCCCTTCACTACAAGACAGACATGGAGGGGCTGGAGCATGTCCGGAGAAGG